AACTATCAATTTGAATAGTAAAGTCATTTCTACTGGAGAAATAGATAATGGTCTCTATATTTTGCATCCTTCCCTAGAAACTAATGTGTTTGAACCAACAACTATTATCCCCATGAAATGAACACATGAAACAGTTAACATTTTCTACTTGTGGCATTTTATATTTGGCCATATTAACAAATAAAGGATTGTAAGATTGGTTAAGGATGGTCATTTGGATTTTCTAAACTTATAAAAATCCATTTACTAGAAAAACACAAAGATCCACAAGTACGTTAGATTTGATACACACAGATGTATGTTATCCCCATGAACATAAGGGCACAAGGTGGATATGTTTATTTCACTACCTTTATCAATATTTCTCACGATATGGAACATATATTTGATGCAACACAAGTCTGAATCATTTGAAAAGTTTAAGTAATTCAGACAAGAAGTTGAGAAGCAATTGTGTATGGAGATTAAAGTTTTTTAATCAGATCAAGGAGGTAAGTATCTCTCGAATGAGTTCAAGGATTAACTTAGGGAAAAGCAAATAATTTCGTAGTTAACCCCTCCGTCTACACCACAATTAAATGTTGTATCCAAAAGAAGGAATCAAACGCTATTAGGTGTGGTCTAATCCCTACTCGTTTAGTCAAAGTTACTCATACCCTTTTGGGGTTACACAATAGATGGACCTTTATCCAAAAACTAGTGAAAACATTTTGAAAATGAAAACCAAATTTTAAATAAAAGAAAAAGGGTTTTAAAAATAGTGAAGTGAATCAACTGCATTAAAGCAAATAGGCTTGGAAAATAGTTTAGCTATGTATGAAGTTTTACAAATTTGGTGTTGAAGTAAATGTATGATTTTAAAGAAGTTTGATGACTTTTTTATTGGATTTGGTTAATATTTAATATTTAAGGTGAAATTGCATCAATTGTGGAGTTTGATATATTTTAATAAGATATTTGGTACTTTTGGTAAAAGGGCTACAATATAGGAAATATTTCAAGAATAATAGACCCAATTCTGAAGCACATTGTGTTTCCAAACATAAACATTTATATAAGCAAGTGACTAATGTAAGAGCATGTAATTATCAAGTGTGCATCGCAAAGGGTGCGGTGAATCCAACAACATAGGGCTATAAGTAGGGTTCAAGTGACCATGACATGCGATCTAGATTGCGATGCAAGGGACATGTCACATCTCAGCAATATACCTAGTTGTATGTTAAAATAATTCACCAGAGGAACAAACCACAAGCCTAAAAGGCCAACAATAATCTAGATCACAGATAGTCACATACTTAGGTGGCAAAGGCTTTGGGAAGATTGCAACTTGTGGTGTCATGCATACATGTAAGGAAAGGGTGAACACCCAAGTACTGAAGCCTAAAAGGGAGCATGGTGACTCCCCAACTAGTCTAGATGGTGTGAATTTAACTAGTTTTCTAAAAGAAAATTTAGAAAGAACTTTCTGAAAGGAAATGGCCTCTAAGAAAAGGTATAAATAGGGGATCATTGAGGGGGGGAGATCATATTTTCCATTATTCCCTCATGAGTCCTTAAAGAAGTTATAACCATTACCACCTCCAAAGACTCCCCTTCCCACTCTAGCTCTTTCAGATTTCATATCTAAGCCCACCTTCCCTACAACCTCTAGTTACTTCCTATGAACATCGAGAAAATGCCCCCGATAGTTCACTTCATGCCCAAATGACTGGAGTCGCCACCCATCGGAAATCAATAATGGGGAGTGATGGGCCTCTCAGATTTAAATTTTCCAAATCATTTAGAATTAACGATGACTCCATATCAATTGGCCAGAATAAAGCTAATTTGGGCATGTTGAGAGAGAGAGAGAGAGAGAGGGAAGGGATTAGGCACCCCTCTCTTTGGTCAGTGTGAACACCATAATTCCCTATTTGCATAGAAACTGGATTGGAGACTTGGATCCTCTATTAGCTTGAAAGAGTGCTCCCTTCTACATTCCTAGACCAATCCCTTTTTGGATGTAGGGGCCTGAGCAAAAGGGTGAGAAATTACTCCCTCACCCCTTTTCTATCAGAGCCTCCACCTTCGGACTCAGCTGAATGGTTTGTAAAGAGAGGAAGCATAAACCTCTCACAAACCCTAGAGAACCACAAAGCCTCAAGTTCGAATTTGAACACAAGAGCCCCAAAAAACAACTACAAATAACAACAGAGAGATGAGATAAAAGATAAATAGACAATGCAGGACAAGAACTACAGCCAAAACTCCGAATCTCATTCGAACAAAAAACTTGCGGGTATGAGGTAATCAAACTTTACCTCTTGTGGCCTGAAATGAAAAACAATGTTGCAAGAGAATGTCGAAAGCTTGGCCTCTTGACGAGCTCTTTCTAGCGGCAGAATGCTAGTTTGGGTTCTACTCGAAGAAACCCTTCTCTTCAAATTTGGCGAGGGATGGGACAGCCTTCGATTGCGATTTTCTTCTCCCTCAGAGCTCTCTCTCACCACTCTCTTGAGGCCTTCTCTCCTCTCTCAAAACCTTCGCTCAACCATCCCTCTCCTCCGACCCTCTCTATTTTTCTTCTCTCCCTCCATCTCTCTCTCTCTCTCTCTCTCTCTCTTGGACCCTCTTACTTGGTATCTCCTCCTTCTGAACTCTTCATTCGACAGTCTTTTGGCTTCCAAAAAAAAACGATGGGAGAGAGAGAGAGAGAGACCCCTCCTCCCAACTTCTCTTTTTCGACCCCTTTCTCCCCCTCTCCTTAGGATGGGAGGGAGGTTTCAAAAAATCTTCAAGGTACATGGGGGTCTTTTAGGTTAACTCGTCAATTAGGGTTTGAAAGGGCGCATTTAGGGTCATATTTGGCAAATAAAGGGGATTTTGGTAATTTTGGAAATTTGGGTAAGGGGTATTTTGGTAATTTGGCAAATAAAGGGATTTTGGTAACTTTGGAAGAAGGGATAATTTGGGAATTAAGTCAAGGGTAATTTGGGTAATTTGAACAAGGGTATTTTGGTAATTTGAAAGAGGGTAATTTTGGGATGGGGGTAAATTTGGTAATTTGGTCAAGGGTATTTTGGAAATTTGGAAGGAGGGTAATTTAGGAAGGGTGATTTTGGTAATTTGGTTAAGGTAATTTGATTAATTTGGCCAAGTGTATTTTGGAAACTTGGTGAAGAGGGTATTTTGGTAATTCAAAGGAAGGGTAATTTTGGAGGAAGGGTGATTTAGGGAATTTGATTAAGGGTATTTTGGTAATTTAGAGGAAGGGTGTTTTTTGGGAATTTGATTAAGGGTATTTTGGTGATTTGGAGGAAGGGTAATTTCGGTAATTTTGGGGGAAGGGTGATTTTGGGAATTTGGTTAAGGGAAGGGTATTTTGGGAATTTAGAAAAAGGGTAATTTGGGTTCAAGGGTATCAGATGAGATTAATCAGTGAATTTTTGTGGATTTGGGGGTTAAGATTTGGGTTCTTTGGATTCTCTGAGTTTTGGTAGGGTTGGAATGGTTTGATTGGTGTTCGAGGGTGAATTGGCGTTTAAACAGAGGACTGAGCAAAAATCAGGTGTTGACACTTCCCTTGAGTGTCATCTTGTTGTCCTTTGAGCAAGGGCCTTCATAAGTGTTAATCCTTACCCACCTACAACTAGTTTTCCTTGTGACGATAAATCAATGATGAGTTCCCATTTTCCCCTAATGTTGTGTTTGGTTTGAAGGAAAAAGTAGGGAAAGGAAGGGAAACCTTTACAAACCTTGTATAGGTTTCCCTACATTTCCCTTCCTTTCCCTACTTTTTCCTTCAAACCAAACACAACCTAAATTGATATACTAATAAATGGGCTCCTAATTTTCCCTAAGTTGATAGATCAACAATGGGCTCTAATTTCCCCTCAACTAATATATTGGCCATGGGATCTTAATTTTCCTAAGTTGTTGAGAGGTTGCCGTCCGTTGATTGTTGTTGCTATTTCTTAGTGACCGTTGTGGACTCTTACCGACTATGAGTAGGGAAAACCTTTTTTGAGGAAAACATTTAATTTGAACCGGATTGGGTCCAATCCGATCCATTTGCATTTCAATTGGACTAGATTGGATCCGGTTTGTATGGGGTTTGGACCGGATTTGGTCTAGTCCATTTGTAAATGGACCATTGTTGGATCAGACCGGATTGGACCAAATTCAGTCCAATTGACAGTCCTACCTATAGGGAAGGCTTGGTTTATATTCCCCTATACCCAAGGTTGGATAGAATCTAACAAAAAAAAGGGAATTTATGGTTTGCTCTGCCTCAGAATTTTTTATTGGTTTTTTGAATGTATTATCTCAAACCCCCACCTATGCAATAATACCCCCTTGCCCACTTGTCACAATTTCCAATTATACAAATTCATAGAACTTTTTAAAGTGGAGGAATTGATAAAAACCCTAATTTGGACATAGATAAATAAATTTTTAGGGTCATTTCCTAAAACATCTCTATAGTTTCATGGATTTACTAAAACCTATCCTATATTTTACATTTTACTAAAACGTCACATAGTTTAATAATACACAAGAAACCACTCAGTTTTATCCCTAATAATAAAAATATCATTTTTGCTCTCTTTGGTCATTTTTTTCTCTATGAATAAGTGTTAGGGGTGCTTTTGGAATAAACAATCATGAGCCCATGTCCATGAACATTTTCCACTCAGTTTAGGTGATAATGTTACTATTTTTAGTTGGTAAAACTATAGGATAGATTTAAGTAAATCCATAAAATTATAAAGAATATTTTAGTAAATGATCTAACTTTTTTATCATGCTTGATGCTAGTTCTATTCTTAACCCCACAAACTCCTATGGTTTTGGACGATTACGCCGTATGACCCCGTATCCGGGTTTTCAGAAAGCAAGAAAAAAAAAAAAAAAAAAAAACTCTCCCTCTCCCTCTCAATCTTCACTTCACACCTTGATGGATAAACAACGAGATTCATCCACTCAAATCGACATGTCAGCATAAAACAATGGCTAAAAGAGCGGCTCCTAGAAAAGCGGACATTATAAAACCATTTAGATAAAAGGAGGAGTAGAGTGACACTGTGCAGAAATGCTGAGTGGTGGCAGACTATCTGTTTCGGTGGCTTTTGCTACTTCTCCAAACCTTACACGATCTCTCTCCAAAATCCCTAGTTCTCGCTTTCTGGGGCATAAGATCTCTTACTTTTCCAACCCTGTTTTCTCTGCTGTGTCACTGGTCAAATGGAACTCTAGAATGGTGGATTCAAAGGCTGCCAATTTTACGATCAGGGCCTCGGCTCAGCCTCTTAAGAACGCTGATGAGCTGATTGATTCTGTCGAGACTTTCATCTTCGACTGTGATGGTGACTACGTACACTCCATCTGTATTTGTGACTTTGAAGTTTGAATCCGATCAATTAGAATTGAGAATTGAGAATTATTCTGTGCAGATTTATGTATGCATTTAGTCCCGCTATGGTACCAAAAATAGAATGGTACTTAAATAAACTGGTAACTGATCAATTGGTATTCATCCAAATTTACGTGACATTCTGATTGGTTAAAGTTTTCAGGTGCCGTACCTTTTTTGGTTTCATCGAAGTTGCCATGGTTTCTGTTTATAAATTTCGATTGCAATCTTTGGTTGCAATATCTCTAGATGCAAATTTTCGTATGGTTTTTCTTGAAGGATGTAAATTTTATGGCATTAAAAATGATTTGATTTGATAGAAATTCGGAGAAATGATTCATATTTGAATTTTATTATTAACTATTCATACTATTATCATTTTATCATCCAAATTTACGTGACATTCTGATTGGTTAAAGTTTTCAGGTGCCGTACCTTTTTTGGTTTCATAGAAGTTGCCATGGTTCCTATTTATAAATTTTGATTGCAGTCTTTGGTTACAATATCTCTAGATGCAAATTTTCGAATGGTTTTTCTTGAAGGATGTATTTATGGCACTAAAAATGATTTGATTTGATAGAAATTCGGAGAATTGATTCATATTTGAATTTTACTATTAGCTATTCGTACTATTATCATTTTATCATAATTACTTTTTTTTTTTTTTTTTGGGGAGGGGGGGGTTGTCTGAGGTGGGGTAATAGTGGAATTACTGGAGTAGTACTATTTTATCTTTATAAATGGTCGCTGTAGGCTACCGGAGTAATTGTTGTGGTCTGTTGAGACTTTGATAGTCTGGTGATCTTGATGAAGTTTGAGAACTTTGGGCTGGGAGAACCGAGGAGTTTCTGAGTGTTATGTTATAAAGTAGTGCTAGAATGTTGGAATGAGGATGAATTCCCCTTTATAAAGTTGGTCTTATGATCTTGTTAGAGAGGAAACTTTCCTTATTTGTACTTTCTTGTTATGATAGAATTTTCCATTTAAGGTAAGTTGTTAGGTTGTTATGTCAAGTCAGCAGAAGTTGTTAGGCCAAGTTATCAAGTGGTTACGCTTGATGTTGACTTATTGTTATTTCTTTATTTATTATTTATATCAAATTTCGCTTTATTCAAACCTAGCCGGCTAGACCATCAGTTTGCAATTTACTATTGCAAAGCCATTTGCACCTCCTACATCTATCCCAGTTTGCAACTTACACATTCACTTCGATTTGCAATTCGCACTTTTGCCCTGATTCATGGTTGGCATTATCCTGTTCTAATCCATGATTTGCATGTTTATCCTCTTACAGTTGCTATTGCCCTCCAGGAGGTTTTGCTCTGATAAAAAGTTTCATCTTTATCACTCGGTGTTTTTCAGGAGTTATATGGAAAGGAGATAGTTTGATTGATGGAGTCCCAGAAACTCTGGATATGCTTCGTTCAAGGGTTTGTATATAAACCATCTTTGAGTTTGTGTGCATTATGGGTTTGTGTACTTTCATGCCTGAGTATTTAATCTCTGTTGAGTTCACGGTTATCATGGTTTTCTAGAGATGATTTTGGTTTCTTCTTCAGCAATCTGCAAAGCCGCAATAAAAGGTGGCATGCTTATGAGAAGAAATGGAATCTTTTAGTGATTGTTAAGCAATTACTGTCCTTTTTACTTCAGGGAAAGCGCTTAGTTTTTGTTACAAACAATTCAACCAAGTCAAGAAAACAATATGGAAAAAAATTTGAAACTCTTGGTCTTAATGTCAGTGAGGTTAGTTCATTCGAACTTAACTTTATTTCCATGAAATACATTATCCCTTTTATCTGTATGTTCAATTGTAATCAAATTATTCCAGGAGGAGATTTTTGCATCCTCTTTTGCTGCTGCTGCATATCTGAAGTCAATTAATTTCCCAAAAGACAAAAAGGTTTGTGTTTTAAACGTGCAAGGTATCTAAAATGATGACTTCACCTTATAATCTGAGTTTTATGTACTGATTTGCTAAATAAAAGAAGAATTTTCTGTAGCAATTGTTTCACATATTATGGAATATGAAAAGAAGATTTTGCTATGTCCAATGAAAGACCCACTTTGGGGTCATAAGTGTTGTTTGCAGATTTTGAATAATTCCTGACTGATTTGCTAAATAAAAGAAGAATTTCTGTAGCAATTATTTCACATATTATGAAATATGAAATGAGGATTTTGCTATGTCCAATGGAAGACCTACTTTAGGGCCATGAGTGTTGTTTCCAGATTTTGAATAATTCCTGATGGGGGTTTTAAGTCTAATTCATCCTCATCTCGTTTGGAGGTTTACAGAAGTCACATGAAAGTGGGAACAACAGTTACTCAGGACATTGGTTTGAAGAGTGGAGAGTAGGAAATGGAGGGAGTTCTGAGTTAACTCAGGTGTGTATATGTTCTCAAGTAGGGGAATGAGGGAAGAAAAGAGATTAGAACTTCTGCATGGAGAATTGGAAAATAAATTATGGAGGGAATTGTGAATTAACCCAGGGGTACGATATGTTCTTTGGGGGGGGGTTAGCTATTTTTGAGGAGAGGAGAACCCTGATCTCTTTTCCGGAGAACCTGAGGAAGAGGACATGGTAACCAATATTGTCAATTTTAATAACATGGAGTCTTTTTGCAAGGTTACTATTATTTCCAATTCTTTGATTTCTTTTGAACCTGTTTCTGTTGGTTGATCTCGTTCCTTGATGAACAAATTATATGATGTATTTAAAAGAAAACAACTGATGTGTTTGCATTTTTTTTTTACTGAATTCAGGTTTATGTGATCGGTGAAGATGGTATATTGAAAGAACTTGAGCTTGCTGGATTTCAGTACCTTGGTGGACCGGTATTTTTCACTATTTCTATAAATATCACCACAAATATCTACTCTGAATGTTGGCTATTGGATTTTCAATATTCTCTTGTTTCCTCACTTTGTATCCTTTATTTAATAAAACTTTGCAATCATGCTTGCCTATAAGAAAATGTATCACATCTAATTAATTGATTAACCAGAGGAGATTAAATGATGGCCACATTTGAATTGTTAAACCAAATACATTTGCACTTGATTCCATAGTATGTATGATTGGCCTTTGTTTTAGCTCGACATCAAGATTGCCTTTTTACATGGTGATCTTCTTAAGGAGGTATATATGGAGCAACCACTAGGGTTTGTTGCTCGGGGGGAGGATGGTAAGGTGTGTAGACTTAAGAAGGATATTTATGGACTTAAACAATCTCCCCGTGCATGGTTTGATAGATCCAGTGAAGTAAAAAAATTTGGCATGAATTAGTGTCAGGTGCTAGGAAGATCTTATTGGTGGTATATGTAGATGATATTGTTATTATTATTAGTAGTAGTGACAGGTTGGGGATTGATAGGTTGAAGACCTTTTTGCATGATCACTTTAAGACCAAGGACCTTGGTAAATTAAAATATTTCTTGGGGATAGAGGTAGCAAGGTCTAAATATGTTATTAATTTGTGTTAGAGGAAGTATGTTCTTGATCTGTTAGAGGAGACAGGATTGTTGGGTGCTAAACCAACTAAAACACCCATGGAAACAACATAGTGTTTGCAAGATTGTTGGGTGCTAAGCCAATTGAGCTACCTAACCATTACTCAACCAGATATCTCATTTGCAATTAGTGTGGTGAGTCAATTTATGCAGAATCCCCGAATTCCACATTGCGATTGGGGTGCAGTTTTAAGGATTGTACGATACTTGAAGGGAGCTTTAGGTTGTGGCTTGTTATATAAAAGTGGAGGGAGTCTTGAGATAGAGGGCTACACTGATGTTGATTGGGTTAGCTCCATATCTGACAGGAGGTCCACTACAGGGTACTGTACCTTTCTTGGGGGCAATTTGGTGACATGGAAGAGCAAGAAGCAGACAGTGGTAGCAAGAAGCAGTGCAGAAACTAATATAGAGCCATGACACACACAACATGTGAACTAGTGTGGTTAAGGAACCTCTTAGTGGAGATGGGGTACTCGATTGATACTCCTATGAAGCTATATTGTGACAACCAAGCTGAAGTCCACATTTCTTTTGATCCAATTTTTCATGAGAGAACAAAGCATATAGAAGTTGATTGTCACTTTGTGAGAGAAAATGTGCTTAGTGGAGTGATAAGTACTGCATATGTAAACATAGGAAGTCAATGGGAAGACTTGTTCACCAAAGGGTTGAGTTGGGGAATAGTGGACTACATATGTAACAAGCTGGGACTATATGACGTATACTCACCAGCTTGAGGGGGAGTGTTAGAGTCGATTGTAGAGGGGTAGTTTGGTCATTTTGCTTTATGTTAAAGGTGTGGTGTAATATTTGTTATATCCTGGGTTAAGTGATGTGTCCCAGGCTTAAGTAGGGGCACAACAGTCTTTATGTTTTTTATTAGAAACCTATAAAAAACAATTTGGCTGACTAGAGAGATTGAGTTCTCTAGTTTGAACCAGTCTTCTTTTCTATTTCTTCTTCTCTTCTCTTCTTTCTCTTCTTTCACTCTTTCCTTTTTCTCCATTATTCTAGAACTAAAACCTATATAGATCTGAACTTTATCAATATTGTTTTATTGTTAGTGGATAGTGCGACCCACACTCCACTATCTTTGTTGGTTTCATCTACAAGCCTCTTGTTGGAGAGAGTAGAGAGACACTTGAACACTCCATAAGTTGGGTAACTCCTCTTGTCATGAAGAGAAAAAAAAGAACGAAAAACAAGGGTTTTCTCTTGGAGCTAGAAGAAGACAAGGTATCCTTATACACAAGAACACATCCTTGCATTGGGTTTGTGAACATCAATCAACAAATCTATTTTGTTTATTTGGTGAGATTTATCCATCTTCTCTTGTATCCACTTGTTAGCAAGGTTGGTGGTGATATCCAAGAGTGCTTATTTCTCTTAATGTGTATGCCTCTAGTTGTTGCTAGAAAAGACTATTATACCCCATTATTGATACTTGAAGGGTTTTTCATGTAAATCTTGGTCTCACTTGAATAAATTAAACCAACAAATAGTTGTTTTCTGATTTAAAAAGGTAGAAAAGAAAGAGAAAGAAGGGTCACGAATAGAAGAGGAAAGGGAGAGAGGAAGAGAAGAAGTAGGAAAGAAAGGGTTCGGCTGAATTATGTTTCTAGCCACCCACTAAGATGTATTTATATTGTAATCTATTACAATGGATAATTACCATAATACCCTTACTTAAAACAAATGAAAGAAAGACAAACAAGGCCCAGCCGACCTAATTATTCTAAATTAAAAATAAAATAAACAGCAAGTATAAAATGTGGGGTTGGAACCCCACAAACACTAACAGCTTATCAACTATCTCTACACTCCCCCTCAAGTTGGGAGTAGATATTTGTCATACCCAACTTGCGTAAATCTGTCTCCAACCTGAATTTTGTGACTGCTTTAGTAAAGAGATCAGCTAGCTGCATGTCAGAGGTAACTTAGGGAAGACACACTTCTTGAGATGCAACACGCTCTCGGATAAAATGTCTGTCCACCTCGATATGTTTAGTCTTGTCATGCTGTATTGGGTTGTAGGCAATGTTAATTGCTGCTTGATTATCACAATACAACACCAAAGGTTTCTCATAGTCAATTCCAAGTTCATCCAGCAAAGATTTCAGCCATAACACTTCTGCAACACCATTGACCATGGACCTGCATTCAGCTTCAGCACTGGAGCGTGCAACAACATTTTGTTTCTTGCTTCTCCAAGAAACAAGGTTCCCCCCTACAAATGCACAATACCCCGAGGTAGATGTTCTGTCATCAATACATCCAGCCCAATCAGCATCTGTATACACCTCTTTCTTCATGTGTCCACTGTTCTTGAAAAGTATGCCTCTCCCTGGGCATCTCTTCAAGTAAGCAAGTATCCTTTCCACCGCAAGAAGGTGAGTGATCCTAGGAGAATGCATGTACTGACTGACAACACTGACAGTATATGAAATGTCTGGTCGTGTTAGGCAGAGATAAAGAAGTTTCCCTACCAACCTTTGATACATAGCCCTGTCCTCAGGAGGTTCTCCACCTTCTGCACTTATTTTATGGTTCAACTCAATGGGTGTGTCAGTAGGCTTTACTCCTAACTTTCCAGTTTCTTCCAATAAGTCAAGGACATACTTTCTTTGAGAGATGAAGATGCCATGCTTAGATCGAGCCACCTCAATTCCTAGGAAATAGTGCAGTTCTCCCAAGTCTTTTACTTCAAATTCTTTGTGAAGATTCTGCTTAAGAGCATCTATCTCATTAATATCACTTCCAGTCACCACATATCATTCACATAGACAGCAAGTAAGGTCAAAGAAAAGTCTGTCTTCTTAAAGAAGAGAGTGTGATCTAATCGAGCCTGCATGTAGCCGAACTTTTCTAATGCCAATCTAAACCTGTCAAACCAAGCTCTCGGAGACTGTTTCAGCCCATACAACGCCTTCTTTAGTCGACAAACTTTCTTTCCTACTTCTGTATTGTAAAAACCGGGAGGTAACTCCATGCACACCTCCTCCTGTAAATCTCCGTTTAGAAAAGCATTCTTGACATCCATTTGAAAAAGTGGCCAAGAGAAGTTCGTAGCCATAGATAGTAGGACTCTAATTATGTTCATCTTTGCAACTGGTGCAAAGGTTTCCATATAGTCTATGCCATAAGTTTGTGTAAAACCCTTTGCAACCAATCTGGCCTTGTATCTCTCTATAGAGCCATCAACATTATATTTTACTGTAAACACCCATCTGCATCCAATAGGTTTCTTCCACTCAGACTGGTCAACTAGTTCTCAAGTGTCGTTCTTAATAAGTGCATCCATCTCTATTTTCATTGCTTCCTTCCATTTAGGTATCAGAAGAGCCTCTTGCACTGTTCTGGGTATAGGAATAGTAGCAATAGATGCCAGAAATGTTCTATAGGATTCTGAGAGACGACCATAAGAGAGAAACTGGGAGATACAATGAGCAGTGGATGAAGTACAACAACGCTTCCCTTTACGAATTGCAATTGGGAGATCAAGGTCATAAGGAAGGGACTGAGGCTCAACAGTGTTAGGTGAAGTATCTGCAATAGTGGGCTCAATAATGGGTGTAATGCCTGGATCTGAAGCTGTAGGAGGTGTTGGGATCGGCCTGGACTGTTGTGAACGAGAACTAACCTGCCTCCACCACTATTTGTGATACACTCTCAACTCCCTGCGCTTTTGACAACCCTCTTCACAGCACTCCCCCTCAACAACTGGGATAGGTAATGGAACTTCTGGGGCTGAAATCCCTTCCTCATGACTCTCCCCCTGAGGAGAGGCCCTATGATAGTAGGGCATATCCTCAAAAAAGGTGACATCCATGGACACATAATGCCTTCCCGAAATAGGAACATAACAGCAATACCCCTTTTGATTTTGTGCATACCCAAGGAAAATACATTTAGCAACGTTGGGATCAAATTTAGAGCGATGAGGTCCCAGGATTTGAACAAAGCAAGTACACCCAAAGGTTTTAAGGGGAATAGTGAGCAAGTCCTTGTTTGGATACAAAAGGTTGAATGGTGTTTTCATGTCCAAAACCCACGAGGGAATTCGGTTAATAAAGTAAACAGCAGCACGGATTGCATCCCCCCAGAAGCGTATGAGAACATTAGAGTTGAGCATAATGCTTCTAGCTACTTCCAAAATATGTTTGTTTTTTCTCTCAGCAACCCCATTCTGCTGAGGTGTACGGGGACAAGTGCTCTGATGAATAACTCAATGGTCTAGAAGATATGATGCCAAGGGTTTTGCAAAATACTCCTTGGCATTATCAGATCTGAGAATTTTGATCTTGATTTCAAATTGGGTCAATACCATCTGATGGAAAGCTTGGGTCAGTGAAGGAACCTCATATCGAGAGTGCATCAGGTATATCCACGAGAAAAGGGTTTAATCATCAACAAATAACAAGAAGTATCTGTACCCCCCCCCCCATGGCAGATGCAAAATTTCAAATGGAATATTGCTTCTTTTATTGCTCAAAGAATAAGTTGACCTACAATGTTTTGCAAGTTCGCAGCTTTCACACTTCAAACTAGACACTTGGACTGACTCAAACAAACTTGGAAACAGGCTCTTCAAAGACCCAAAGGACAAATGACCTAATCTGTTATGCCAAAGCATAATCTGACCCAAAGACTGAGAAACAAACAATCTCCCAACTTCACTTTCCTTCCCCTGTGGATGCTCAAGCAGGTAGACTCCATTCGGGAAAAAAAAGTCACTGAACAGTTTTGATTCTTAGTAATACTACTAACTGAAAACAAGTTAGCACTAAGCTTAGGGACATGCAAAACTGAGGACAAAGAGATGGCATCCAACAGCCTGATGTTTCCCTTGCCAGAAATAGGAACAAGGGAGCCATAAGCAATAGATACTTTTGTCTTTGCCTGAGGATAAACAGTAGGTGGTAAACAAGGTGGATAAACTAGTCATATRGTCAGAAGCACCTGAATCTATTACCCAGAAGGGTCTAGTATTACCTGGGGCTGAAGTGTGATATGCTGTAGCTCTTGTACCTGAGGGAGCAAAAGCTGAAGTAGGAATAGGAGTAACAGTCGAAGACTGAGATGATGACCCGGAAATACCAGCTTCTCCAATTGTGTCAAGGCAACCCGGACAACAGCTAAGGCATCTAGAGATGTGGTTCTTGTATTGGAAGATGATGCACTGTCAGTGTTGGCTGCCATATTAGCACTTCCTTTCTTATTTCTGAATCTAATTGGAACAAGATGGGGATGCAACTTCCAATAAGTATCCCTAGTATGCTTGGGCTTCTTACAATGATCACAAAACATCTCCCTTTTATCTTCCTTCTTTATTTCCTTTTCCTGATCTTTCCCAAATTTCTGTTTTGTTGCTGCTAGGGCTGATTCCATGGGTTGAACTTGTAACATCACTTTTCTTCTACTCTCTTCACTATGCACTAGCGAATAAGCCTGAGACAAGGTCACAGTATCCCTGGTAAGAAGTTGCTGTCTTACTATGTCAGCTAGGAATTCAAAAATTTTGTTTGTTTCAACCAGCTTGCTATAGGTAGTCGCATCTCTCTGACTCTCCCATTCAATGGTTTCCAAATTGTCAATTTCATGCCACAAAGATTTCAAAGTAGCAAAGTAAACGGAGACTGGCTTCTCCCCCTGCTTGAGATTTTTCACTTCACACTTCAGTTCATAAGCCCTAGCGACATTAAGAGGTTAGGAGTAGGTCTCTTTCATATTATTCCAGATTTCCTTTGTCGTTTTGGCCCATAAATAATTTTGGCTAATGTGGGGCTGCATTGAATTACACAGCCATGTCATCACCAAATAGTTCTCTTGAACCCATTTGGCAAGTGATGTGTCTTCATTTGCTGGCTTCTTTATATCCCCCGTTACATAGCCTAATTTACCTCTACCCCCAATTGCCATCATGGCTGATTGTGCCCACTCCAAGTAATTTGTTCCATCGAACCTAACAGTTGTAATTTGAAAAGAACTTTCAGTCATACTTCCAGCCCCTAAAAAACTTTCCCCTGGAGTCTTGAATTCACTTCCAACTTTCTCCATTTTAAAGCGGATGTTAACAGTCACTACCAGAAATCAATTTCAGATTATTGGTAACTCCCAAGAAACATTCCTCAGTCGAAAAGAACACCCAGGAGCCAAAAAATGGGAGCAATAGTTGACCGTGGGATTTCACAAAAAAACTCAGAGAAACTAGCAGATATATCAGAAAACTGCTGAATTAAGGTCGATCTCTGTCAAGGAACCCTAAAGAAATGGCAAAGGAGATAGATTTCTATTAACCACTGCTTCCAGAAGGTTAAAAACTGTTCCCTTTAAGGTTGATCTCAATAAAGATGAGTTCTTTCTCAGAAAGAATTTGATCGCCACCTTTAACCTTCAGATTAAGCCCTAATCTTTGACTTACCTGACTTCTCTGACTCTTCCTGGTCACCGGGCACTCTCCAAAGGTTGTGTAACCCCTTGAGTACAATTTGAATCTCCAGTGATCCTCCAAGAATCAGGTGAAGATGCAATACTTCAGATTCAATAACTTCTCATGCTGCCGACTGGATTAGGCTCACATGAGAGCCCTAAACTGCTCTAGTTTTGGCTCTGATACCAACTTGAATAAATTAAACCAGCAAATAGTTGTTTTCTGATTTAAAAAGGTAGAAAAGAAAGAGAAAGAAGGGTCACGAATAAAAGAGGAAAGGGAGAGAGGAAGAGAAGTAGGAAAGAAAGGGTTCGGCTGAATTATGTTTCTAGCCACCCACTAAGATGTATTTATATTGCAATCTATTACAATGACTAATTACCATAATACACTTGCTTAAAACAAATGAAAGAAAGACAAACAAGGCCCAGCCGGCCTAATTATTCTAAATAAAAAATAAAATAAACAGCAGGTATAAAATGTGGGGTTGGAACCCCACAAACACTAACAGCTTATCAGCTATCTCTACAGTCTCCTCTCATTTTCTCTTTGTGTTTGATTAATTGCTCTATTGATTGGTGTTTTTTTCCCTTCACAGGGCTACACAATGGGGGTATCTCATCCCCCTCCCTTTAACCCCCAACCCTAGTGGCAGTGGGATTTGATCCCAGGTCTCTACTCCAGCAAGTCAGAGATCCTACCAACTGAGGTCTCTATTGCTTGGTACTTTCTATTTGCATGTTGTTTAATCTCTTTGATTTGCACATGGAATTGAACATGGGGGTTTATTTCCCCAATACCAGTTTGCTTGCTGGTAAAGTCTCTAGCTGGTTGTAGCAAGGACTTGGGATTGAGTCCTACCTTCATCTAGGATGGAGAGTCTATGGGTTTGGGGGAGGGCTACACCTTGTTGTGTAGCCCATTACCCAAAGAAGGAAAAACATACAATGTATGTCCCCAATATAAGTCTGGAACAATAAAGAGAGCTCAAAACAATTGCATAATCCTTATCCAAATAACCTTATTTGATCTAGCTTGTTTTTTGTCAATTTTTATGTTTACACTAGAAATCACATGCGCATGTGTGCATAGTTGAATTAATTTTTCTTTTTAGATAAACTTTCTTAACTTAAGAAATACATATACATATACACGTGTTTATCAATCATGGCAATGACTGTGGATTGTACAGTTATGATAGTTTGTTTGATGGTATATTTTCTTCTTTATAGGAGGATGGTGGGAAAAAGATAGAGCTAAAACCCGGATTTCTAATGGAGCATGATGAGAGTGTATGATTCTATTCTTTTGTGTGCTCAATTACTCTATTATGCAATCTGCTTGAGTGCCCTTTATCTGGGACTTGTAAGCAGAGATTGAATAGTAGTTTCTGTCCTTGTGTATGAACTTGTTTGTTCAAGAAGGTTATGTATTGCTGTTTAGGTTGGAGCTGTTGTTGTTGGATTTGATCGTTATTTCAATTATTACAAAATTCAGTAAGTTAATCTCTTTCTAGACCCATTAAAATTACCATTTTTCCCAATATACATTTCTTATATTATGTAGTGTTTCTTTTGACAGTTTGTTTGGCTAAAATACAATTGATAATTCAATATCTTATTTCACTTCCGTTTATTGCAAAGATTTTCCTTTTCAAAAATTCCATGGGTGGGCTCATGATTCTTAATAATCCTAAAACATGGTTCTTCTAGAAACATTTCAAATGAAGAGTTGATTATGAAAACCATTACTGGGTAGTTGTTGTTGAAGACCATGAAAGTTATCTCTCCACTTATATTTTCCTAATCAGCCTAAAACACGGCTCTTTTGGAAATATTTCATATGAAGAATTTATTATGAAAGTCATTACTGGAGAGTTGTTTCAAATACTAATGAAGCTATCCTTCCACTTGTCTTCTTGCGCAAGCTACAGTGCTTGTGATGCCTCCCTAGCAGCACTCATGGTGGCATACACAAGTAGCACAGAAGACCAAATGGTTCACATACTACATTGCAGCTATCATATTACTACTACTCATGCCCTTGTTTTTGATAGATAACAGTAAATCTTTATTATCATAGATGAAATATGTACAGTAATTACCTTTTAATAGCTCAACACAGACTGACCAATCTCTAACTTAGATATTCTGTAGCATATTTATATTCAAGATTCACATGTTATCCCCCAGACTTTCTATAGCATATTTTACCCTTTGTCTTGCAAATGCATCAACTAAGCAATTTGCAGCTCTAGGATCTCATTTGAATGATACTTGCAGCTCAGTTGAGAGCAGCTCAATTTCCCTTAAAATGTATCTGTACTGCCAAGTTCCTTGACTGTTCCTTTTTAACCACCCTATTGCCACTTTAGAATTTCCTTCCTCTAGTCTTCTCATATTGTAGAGACTCCAATCCCCATAAGGCCTGAATAAATCATCATTATGATACCTTGACAGTTAATGAGACCTCCAATACCAGATTCACCTGGACTACCCAGGTTGCACCCATCAAAATTCAATTTAACTTGATTCACAGCCGGTGGTGTCTACTCCTTTTGAATGATTATACTTGTGGATGAGGATTGTTCCACTTCTCTCCACCCTCTGATGATGTTACCATTAAAGAATTGATAAAAAGATTTCTGTGTTTTGATGGAATGTGCTGCTCTTATGGTAACAGTTTATATAATTGCTTCCTTGGACCTTGCTTTCCCTTGAATATTCTTTCTTTTCTTTCCTCCCATATAGACGATAAGATAGAAGCCTTGCGCACCTCCATATAATCTTACCCTATCTTACGCACCAAAAGAAAATAATTCTCCTACACATCCTCTAGACAAACTTTTTCCTTTGTATAATTTTTCACTCGTCTTATTCTATCTATAAAATAACTAGGTTTGAAGAAAATGAGAGAAAGAGTGTAAGAGAAGAGAAGTGAAGAAATGAAGAAGGAAAAGAGTCTAATCATCCTGTTTCTCCAGCCCCTAATTACTTTAATTAATCATAATAAGAAAACTAAGGGGACATTTATAAGATTTCCCTTAATGGGGCAGCTGTCATTAAATACAAAGAAAGAATACTGAAGGCCCATTAACTCAAATAAACTAATGACAAGATGAATGGTAACTTCAATCTGCTACTGTCAAAATATTCTTGCCCCTACTACCAGAATCCTGGAGGTATTTGGGGAGAACATAGTACACTTCCCCCCACCCCCCGCCCTCTCATGGCTGTGATGAAGTTCGTGCTGGTGACAAGGTGGAGGAATGAAATTGAAGTGGAAGAGAAGCAGGTGATACTCGAAGACTGTAACCATAGCGGATATCAATCTTTGAAGGTGAGAGAAGGAAAAAGAGGCCCCATTTTCCTTGTTGGAGATGCTACTCTATGGGTGAAGGGTTTTCTCGAAGGAGTAATATACTCTATCGAAAAACAAGGGTGGAAAAACTCGAAGATGGTGTTTGGGAAGAAATATTAATCTGAACTAAAATGGAAGTGGCAGAATATTTTGGGATGGGGAAAAGGCAAATGGTGTGTTTCCCCGAAGGGAAGGATAGTGAAGGGTGGAAACTGATAGCAGATAGCTTACAAGAGTATCTCAGTAGTCTGGAAGAGAGGAAACAGCATAGGCTTGGTCTGAAAGAGGAGGTTATCTCTCTAAGGGAGACGGAGAATATTGCCGTTGGTAAGGATAAAACAAATGTTTGTAGTGGGGATAAGCAGGGACCAGAGTCCCCCATACTGATGCCCTGTAGAAAGGAGAAAGTGATGCTGGAAATTGATAAAGGTGTGTGGCAACAGAGGTATGTAGTTACGACCAGCCAAAAAATAACAAACTGGAAGCCAGCAGTGGATGCTATAGTCAGAAACTTTAATCTCAAATCCACGTAGTGCTGATCCCTTTCAGTGAAACAAAGGCAGTCTTGGATTCAGGGAGCGACAAGATGAAGCTTTCAAGGATAGAGACAGAGGTGGGTATGGTCCAAGTGGAGAAATGGTGTAAGTTATGCTACTTATATAATGATAAAGAGTTAGGAAATGGAAGCTTCACGGTGAAATTGATAGGGCTTCCATTTAATTTGTCAGAAGAAGCAGTAGTCGATAAGATGGTAACACTTTTTTGGAGCATTAGAAGCCTACAATAGCGCAAAATTTGGATTGCTTCGGAAGTGGAAGCATCACTATGGAGGTCTGGTTCTGAGGTTGAAGACAATGCTGACTCAACAGGTTGGTGCTTAGGTGGTGACAAGAGAAAGGCTGCAGGGAGAAGCATGGTGGGAGTTATTTATCAGGAAGGTGAACAGTTGTCTGTTGAGTTTTGTTCTAGGAAATTGACAGATTTAGAAATGTTTTCAAATAAATTTGAATTAAAAGAAAGGGAAATTGTCTAAAACTCACCATGACTTTTCAGCATTTCTCTTAAACTCACCATAACTTTTCAAAACGTCCAGGGAACCCCATGTCAGAAATCTATCGTTAGAATACAAATGGCTTCTGTAAATTTACTATGCTACCCTTCACTTTGATTTTGCTATGAACAAAATAAGAACAGTCCTGTTCAGGACCAGAAAAAGAGGGGAAGAAGAAGGGAAAGAAAAGGGGGAAGGACTTGGACAATGTAGCAACTACCATCACTCATGCCTTCAAAACCCATTCTGATTTTTTCATGATTTTCGGTCTCTATCTGTTCCCTTTCCGGACTCCTGAAACGGTAGAGGACATGGACGACAGGGAGTTTTGGCTTCCTTCTTAGTTTCTCATTGAAGATGAATGACAAACGTACTCGTGGAAAGGACAGACAAACTCAGGGAGAATATGAACCACAATAACTACAACAAGGGGTTTGCCTCTAAGACTGAAGTTGGGCCTTTTTACCCTTTTAAGTTCCCCTCCATGCATTGGCATACTATGGATCTCCTTCAGCTCTTAGCTCTCCAGTTGAATATGTCATGGATTCATTCTCACATGCTGGATTTTAGTGGTTGCATTGGTTAATAAAAAGCGTTTGAAGGAAATTAATTTAATTAGGTGATGGGTTTCAATCTCAATGACAATTTGGTGAGGGAAGCAGTTCAACTTGTGTTTTACTTAAATCCAAGAGACGAAGCAACAGGCCAATGGTACAACCTTTGGTGTTCAAGGAGAATTTCAGAGACCCAAAAGCAGAGCTGGATCATCATATGAATGTTGCCGTTAATTAATCACATTGAGCATCATCAGCTCAATGGGGGGGGATCATTCATTTTGTGACAGCTTCAAACTGTTTTGGGAAGATCGGGGAAGATAGCTGGGACCACTTAGTAGCCTCAAAATTTGCATCAACAACCGCAAAATAGTGCAAGAACTTCTGTTGGGTTTGGTAACAGTATATGTGGGTGGCCTTGGCTCTTATCTTCATCCACATGGCCTCCTCCGTAGCAGCAATAGCAAGCTGGTTCCGGTATGATTTAATAATCATCTACCAGTCGGTGGTGCTTCTTTGAAAATAAAGACTTCTGTCAGATTTTGAGCTGCCCATTAATGGAGATCAAGCTCGCTAGAATGGAAACAACTTACTTTCAGAGTGGTTTAGTGTAAAAGTGTTGGGTATGTTTTAATCCTTTTCATTTAGAGGGGGGGGGGGAGATAGAAAGAAAGAATTCATCAAAAAAGAGAGAAAGAAAGAGAAAAGAAATAGAAGGGAGGTTGCTGGACTGGTTCAGCAACAGCAGTTGCTCCTCTCTGGTTGGTGTTCATGGGGAAGATGAACAGTAGAGCTCCGCCTCCACAACATTAAGGGGTAATTTGGTCATTATAAATGCTTAATGTTCCATGTGGACAACTTCTGTTAATGGTCACTAACGGTGACCTGACAGGTGAGTTTTGGACAGTAAAATATCTCTGACAGGTGGCTTCTTGGATGTTTTGAAAAGTTGTGGTGAGTTTAAGAGAAATGTTAAAAACTCATGGTGAGTTTTAGATAATTTCCCTAAAAGAAAAATGAAGAGGGGTTAGTTTTAGTAGACATGGTTAGAAAAGAAACAGTCTGTACCGGTGTGGGGCCCAAATAAAGCTATGGTTGAACTGGTGGTCTCTGAACCAGCCAAGTCTCAGTTCAGTCTTGGAGTTAATTTGGGCAATCCAATTAATTAACCGAAGATAAATGGCTCGTCTGACCCTTTTAATAGTCAGGTGAGCCCTTTGATTGAAGCCTCTTTGGGGGATGAGAGACAGTGTCTACCATTGTCCCAACCAACCTGGGTTCTCCTCTACTGTTTTTTTTTTTTTTTTTGGGTAGAACTCTACTGGTTTGTTAAACCTGAAATGTTCTGTGCAAACTCCACAGTGATTTCTAGGAAAAACAACAGGGTTAAGAGACCAAATACAAATAAAAATGGGAATGCCTGGCCAAACCCTAGATACTTGAGGGTACGTTCAGAGGATGCTGATATTGAATATAGAGGTTGGGTTGACATTTAGTTGTCACAGGATGAAGACTCTGACGACTCAGATACTGATTTCAACTTTGAGACAGAGAACTAGGAAGAAGAGGTGGAGAAAGAAGGAGAAGGGGATTTCCTTGACACGTCCTTACTTGTTGATGAAGGAAAGAGACATGCTGATCCTGCCCCTCTCAATTGTCCAACTACAAGAGGTGGAGGCGATTAGGGGTGAGCATTACTTGGTTAAGACTGAAAAACCGAACCAAAAATTTCGGTTCGGTTTTTCGGTTTTGTAAAATTTTGGTTTCGGTTTCAGTTTTCAGGTTTAGAAATTCGGTTAACCGAAAAAACCGAATTAGCTGAACTTTATTATCTATAATATATATATTAACATATAATACATATATAATATGTATAAAATATATTATATTGTATTTTATTATGTATTAAAATATATAATTTATTATATACATTGTATAATATATATATTTTTAATATATTATATTTATTAAAATATACACTACAATATATATTAAAATATATAGCGTTGAAATTCGGTTTTAACCGAAAATTGAACCAAAAATTTCGGTTTCGGTTATTTCAGTTTTTCAATATTTCGGTTTCGGTTCGGTTTTTAACCGAATAAACCGTTTGCTCATCCCTAGAGGCAATAACGTTCCTTTGTGTAAACTCGGTGCTAGGAAGGATAGACCTAATAAGGGGGACCCAGGTCAAATTCAAGATCATTGGCATGGTGTCCATAAGGGGATAGATGAAGATAACCAAAAGTCTTACAGTCAATGTTTTAAAAACCGACATGGAAACGGAACTACTTTGGTAAACCAGGTCAGCAGTTCAACTGTCCGGGTTGAATAGTTCGATCTATGATGTCATATATATAATAAAAATAAAAAATATTTATAATTATTGAAACATGCCATAAAATATTTATAAATAATGAAAAATGCTATAAAATTAAATAATACAAGAAAAAATGCAATAAAAAAGTCTCAACCAAAGTTCCTTTGAGTTGCTACTAGGGAATCCACTGTTGGTGGAAATACAAAAAGATGGGTACATTTGAGTTCTGTGTACACAACAGGTGATTAACATTGTTAGTTCCCTCCATTATCATTGAACCAGGCATTTAGGTTGAGGTTCAATTGCTGGTCAATGAATATGTGCTTGTCTTCTTATTTTCTTTTACCCTTTTTTCTACGCTCTTACTTGTGTAAATGTAGAGGTCCTATTAATTCCAAACCCAATTGTAACTAGTAGAAAGATTCTTGTCATTTTGCAAGTTTGACAGTCGATCTGGTTTAATCTTTATATGTATGAAGGGATATAATTTGTAATGATAGAACTGGCTACTTGCAGTGAAAAATTAAGACACCCCAGAAAATGAAGGAGGTCTCTTTTTTTTTCTATCGAAAACCTAGAAGAGGATGGAAAAAAAATTCATTTTAGATTACTAATGTAGGTCTCTTGTACCCACCTCTATTTACTGTAAAACACCAAGGAACCTGGTCACCACTACAACTTTTGGGTTGCTGGCAGAAGAACAAATGACCCAGGAACCTGAATGCCGCCACTGCAAACCCAAGCACTGAGTCACTGCTGCAAAGGGCGGTCGTCGTGCAAGGTTTAGACTCCTGTCATCAATCTATCTGGCCTAGCACTGTAAATGGTGGTCTCCTTGACTCCCTCTGCTCTCCGTCGCTGTTGTGTCTCAGAGGTGAGACTTGAGAAAGAAAGGGGAAACCTCTGTGGTAAACCCTAAAAAAGAAGGAATAGATTATCGAATGAAATTTGGGACCAAAATGCCATTTTCCAATTTTTAACTTTTCTTAACTTTAATTGTGACATGCAAACCGCTGCCTAGGTTGAACGGTTCGGTGGTTGAACTGCTTGGGTCAGTGGTTTTTTCACCTTTTCAACGTTTTTTTACCAAAAAGTGGCCTAGGGCCTAATCAGACCTGGAACCAAACCCACTAAGTGACTTTTCTTACTCTAAATGACTTTTCTTGCGCTGTTCAGAATTCTAGTGTTTGTTTGCCTCCCTGAGCATGCATGTAATTTTTTTGCCTATCACTTTGCAATATGATCACTTTTTCTTTCATTTGACCTTCAATGGGTCTCATTTCCTTGATATATCAGAATTATAGCTGGAGAATTATGTAACCAGTTTGTTTTATAACATAATTCAAAATTCTTATACTAGTTAAGAGATAAAGGCATTTCTGTATAACCAAGCCTTGTTAAATGTTATTACTTTTGTAGCCTTTAGCTTGTGTATATTTTTGTTCTTATGATGCTTATGTACTTTTCTAATGTAAGGTATGGAACCCTCTGCATCCGTGAAAATCCAGGCTGTCTGTTCATTGCTACAAACCGTGATGCTGTCACTCATCTGACAGATGCTCAAGAATGGGCAGGTTAATCTTCTCCTGCTTTCCTGAACTTTTTCTTGTGATATCTTTTTCATTCTTCAATTAGAAGTTAAGAAGTGGACAAATTATGATAACTAACAGATTTTACAAGGGTCTAAGGTGACCTAACATTTATGGATGAGAACTATTTCAATTTGGAAATGCTATTTTTATCCAGAAATTCTAATTCCTTCCGATAATTTATCAAAGTTGTCTTGTAAAATGAGATGCTCTTTAGGTACCTCATCTAATCCTCTTTTCATTGTCAATAATGTTTAGAATTTCCCCCAACTTTTGAGTTTGTTGAGGTGTAACTCATTCTCAATAGTAGCAGAACTCTATCATCCCAGTTCAGTTGTGAGACCCAAATTGAAAACCAGGAACAAGAAGTGGGTTCTTTGTCCTCTTTTCTTCTTTTCCATCATTCAACCTCTCCATAAATAGATCTGAATTACTTAAAGAATGGAATCTGTTAACTTTTTTGCTCCTTTCCGATAAAAAGAAGCTACTTATAAGTTATAAAACGTAAAGGTAGAAAAAAAATACCGTTTGTGGTGGGTTGCCAATTTGATGGTCATACTGCTTAGAGCATATGCACACTGGTATTGCATATATTTATGAACTTATATAGGAGGTCCCTGGGCTATTGAATGGTGACCCAAGTTTTAATTTTCTTTTTCTTCTTGTTGTTGCTTGTGGTGATTGAGAGAGAGAGAGAGAGAGAGGTACGGATGATAGAAAGAAAAGCAAAACTCAGTACTGGCAGCCGCCAGTCTTCTATTTATATTAATCTTTATAAAAAGACAAAATTACAAGTATGCCCCTGGTGGCCTATCCTAGGATAAGAACAATAAGAAAAGAAAGAAAGAAAGGACTAGTAGCTGAAACTGTCCCACTAACATAGTTACAAGGAACACTTGAGCCTTACAACACTCCCCCTCAAGTTGGGCTGAAGATGTCTATCATGCCCAGCTTGTCACATAGCTCATTGTGCCGCAAACACGGAAGTCCTTTTGTGAGGACATCAGCAAGTTGTTCCTT